AATTATTGAAAATCAAAACAAAAAATTTATTTAGAACAAATTTTAATGTTGACAATTGAAATTATGAATTTGTTTAATAATATTAAAATTCATTTTATTTATATTTCTCTAACTAATTTTTCTTGCTCGTGCATTGCAGAGGTTGTTTTTCAGTTCTTTATATTAGTAGAGCTTGAATTTTATATTATTTTTTTAATCAATTTTTAAATTTTATAATGATCTTTTAGTTAAAAGACTCTAATTAAGTGATTAAAGCTGAATTTGAAATTGTTTTAGGTAATTAGCAATAGTCTTTTTTCAAAAAGTTGTACATAGCCATATTAAAAAAAATCTATTAAAAAAATTCAAAAAACATTCAACATTAATTTTCATTTCATAATCTAGAAAAAAAATATGTTCTTTTTTTTACTATTATTAATAATTCAAAAGACATTTCTTTTCTCTCAATTAAAAACTAAACTTAAATAAGAACATAATTATATTCCTTCAAATCTTGCATATCAATTGTTTTAGAATTATAATCAAATAACAAAGAAAACTAAATAACACCCATTAATTTATTTTCTAATTATTTTAGCATGTGTGTTGTATGGGATTTGATTTTTTTTTAATTTTATATCTATATTATGTGATTTTCTCTTGTATATATTTTTTATAATAAAGTTATTTTAAAGAAATGAAAATTGTATTTCTTAATGAGATTGAAGGACAAAAGTGTCATAGTATTTTGTATTATATATTAGAAAATATGTTTTTGGATCTATATTGTACCAAAATATATATTTTTTTACTTTAAAGTAATTTTGTATTTTTATAGCCCAAACTACATTGTTCGTGTAGTCCAATTTTTTTAAAAAAAAAACTAAGCTCCCATATATTGTAATTTTGAGTTTTAAAACTTTTTTAATTAATCAAAATTTGAGATTATTTCAATTTTATAACATTGACTCTTGTCATTTTTGTTTTATTTTTATTCTTCTTCTAATTTTTTAGGAGTTTATTTTAAGTCACGGAATATATTTAGTTGTAATAGTCCTTATTTTTTAATTAGGATTTGAAATGTTATTTCTTTGTTTAATTTTGAATTACAAAATGGATTCAACTTTTTGACACCTACTTACTTAATTACATTAAATAGCTTAAGTCATTAGTTTTGAAATCTCGTTTAGATTAGTCATATTAGTTCTATTTTACTCCCTTTTTTTGCTTATAATTGGGTTATATGTTGTCCAAGTTTTTCCATATGTTTCTGTATTGTAGACAATAGATGTTGCAGTAAAACAATAATTGTTATGTATATCATATTTCCTTTTGAATTTCAATTACAAACCATAATATATACAATTGAAATTAGATTTTTCATTAAGAAAATTTTGCACATTCAAACGTTTTGCCTTTTATTCTCATTTACACTTTTATCTTTAAGTAGAATTTATATTTAAGATGACCAAAAAGTTAACAACTGTAAAATATGAATAAAAGGACCAATAACAAACATTATCTTCTCCAAAAAAAAAAAAAAAGAACAACAAAGAAACACAATATCTTGATATGACTTGGACTCTATCCAATTAACGATTCCTTGTTTAGTGTATGAATCAACATTATTATTGGTTTAATTAACTCCTATCCCATGAGTAGAGTAATCTCTTTAACACCAGAAGAAAAAAAAAAAAAAGGGGTTTCAAATCATTAATCATCTAAAAAGAAATGATTGCATAAATTTCTTTCAAAAGAACAACATTATATGTTCTATAAAAAATTCACAAAAAAAAAAAAATAATAGGACTAATAGAGAAAAGAGTTCATATAACAATATATATATTTTGAACTAAGAGAAAAAAAAAAGTACAAGAAAATAAAAGCATAATATTATTTTTAGTTACAATGTATAGCAAGGAACAAAAAGAAGAAAATAATTAAAACTCACCATCTTAGCAAAAAGAAGTTGTAGAGATAAAGAGGAGAATACGATATCAAAGAAAAGTAAGTTAAGGTTTACATATAGATGGGTAGAAAGATGAAAAGGCATGAAGAAAAATTGTGAAATCTAAGGCCAAAAAAGAGAAAGGTAATTGTTGAGGTTAGAAACTAATTGTTGACTTTAGATGGCTAATTGGACGATGATTGGCGCACATCGCCATCCTTCACCCTCTATTACACACCGATTAAAATATAAATATCCCATGATTTAAAATTAATTAAGAAAAGACTTAATCTTGTTGCCAAATGCCCTCGTAATCATCTTCTTCTCCTCCTCCCTCTTAATAGAATCCCTACAATTTTGTTTTTTGTTTTTTTTTTTCCAAACAAAATCCCCATAATTTAGGTTTGAAGTTATTTTCTGCTCTCCTTCAGTAAACTAGAACTCCTCCTCTCCTCTTTTCCTCTACTAAAACCAAAACTAGACTAGGTTTTCTCTATCCTTTGTTTGTACCAAGCTTTCTCTCCTCCTCCTCCCCTCCTGCACTAGATTTGGTTGCAAAATCAAGTTAGGATGAGCAAGGAACCTAGATCTATAGGTATTTTTGCTCATTTTGTGGATATTTTTGAAAGAGAGTTGATAAGGGGAAAAAGGAAGATATTTGAGAACCTCTCTCTTCTTTTCTCTTTCTCTATTTTATTTCCCATTTGCTATCATTTTCTTCCTATCTTCTCTATTTCTTTGTTGGTTGTTGTCAAGTTTGGCTATTTAGGGCATAGGATGTTTTGTGTGGCCATCGTTGGTGTTGGTAGAAGGCGGTGAGTTCCTTCTATGCTATGAAGATTTTGAGGAAAAATTTGTAGTGAAATTAAACTTGTAGAAGAATGTATAGCATAAGTTTCCTAGGAAAAATTTTCTCTACAGAGGAATGAGAAGGATAGAATTCGATGGTTCTCTCTTAAACTCACTCACCTTTTTATCATCCACCTAAAAATCCCCAAAACTCAGAACTGAAAATCCCCAAAACTCATGCCTCTTTCTCCCTAGATCTAAATTGAATATGAAGGGATCTCAGCATTAGGGATATAACCCTAAACAAGCGAGGAATAAGTTAATCTATGGTAGAAAATGTATTTTAATAATTAGACAACAATGTGTGATTGAGTGTGTAAATTTATAGGGTGAATGTATCATTTTCTTCATTTAAATATAAGGTAAAATGAAATCACTCTATTTATGTATTAATATGAAATTCACCCAATTCCTTTTTTTATTATTATTATTTTCAATTAATTCATTATGTAATTCATAAATGGTTAAATACATATCCTAATTAATGCATGGAGTAGTATTTTATATAATATATAGAAGATAATTATAATAATATATTATAAAAACACATGAAACTAAATAAATTTTTTTATTTACAGTTGAAAATTTTATAAAAAGCAAAATTAAAAATCACAATTATACTAAACAAAACCTTAGTATTACAAGTGCTTTTCAATGGTATAAAACCATTCTACATAATAGTAAAACGAGTCATTGTCATCCAAAAGACATCACAACAA